AAAAACCTCTATCCTCTTGGGGCCTTTATGCATTTTGGAGTTTGTTATAATAGTTAGCCTAAGCTAACTAATAAACAGGATAAGTGCGTTAAATGCTAACAGCAGCTGGAACTTGTGTTCTGGCTAGAATGGAGCACAGGGACTGAATTTAACCTTTGTTGGAAACAAAACTGAACAAGACATACGAAGTGATTGCTCCCACGATGCTAGGCATCAGGCGGGAAGGGTAGCAAAGCACTCCTTGACCGTGACCCTTTCGGACAACACAGGGCCCAGTTGTAAAGTACCGGTGGCAGGATTCCTCCCAAGAGGCCCAGGTACTCTCCACCCCCTTCCTTTGTCCTCCTCTTCCCTCCTATGGGGATGTCCTCCCTTCAAGGCACAACACTGCCACCCTGGGAGGCCTTTCCGGTCCTTCTTAGCAGATGGGTTCACCCTGCCCCTTCTCCAAGCCCCAAAGCCCCTAGCTGGTGCCCCTACTCAACCATCTACCTCAAGCTACCCGAGGGCAGCGGCCTGAGGTTGGCTCCAGGGCACCACCCAACCCCAACACGCGGGCTCCTTAGGGTGAACTTTGCTGTAACGGGGTGGGGAGAAATGAAGCAGGTACACACGCATCTCTAACACAGAAAAAGTGCGCGGAGTTAACTGTTAGGGATGCAGTTCAAAGACACTGTTGGGGTGCAGGCGCCCCCCAGTCTGGGGGAAAGGCTTCGGCGGGGCGGGAATGAGAAGCCCAGACACCTGGACCGGCCTGGGACTCAGCTTGTCTTCCTCTGTCGAGTGAAGGAGTGGGCTGGGTGGTTCGAAGCGTCCTGACCGCCAAGCAGGGGCCACCTTCCAGGAAACCCACAAGGAAGGCTCCCTGTCGATGCCGCTGACACGGGAACATATCTAAAGTTTCAGCCAGACAGGGTCCCCATCTCTGAACTGTCTACTCTCCCTGCGGAGCAGATGGGACAGGGGCCCGGGGCTATCCTGGAGTGCGCGGCGCGCGTGGTCAGGGCTCGACCCTCACTCAACCTCGCAAACCCAGGGAGGGCAGCCCAAGTCGCACTCCGCCTAAGCCTGGGCGCCCGGCATCACGAGGCCGCGGGGTGGTTGTCTAGGAAACACTCACGTGCCTCCGCAGGGCTTCCCGGGCCTCGTAGTCCGCCGGCGGCCTCGCCTGGGCCGACCGCACAAGGAGGGACTACAACTCCCAAGAGGCGGCGCGGCGCGGCGCGGCGAGGGCGGGGCCGGCGCGCGGCGGGGGCGGGACCGGCGCGCGGCGGGGGCGGGGCCGGGG